TGACCACCTTTACCTGAGTGGCATTCTTGTCCCAGTTTCACAAGTTCACCTGTTATAGTTTATAATAGCACGTTCACTTGAGCCATGATTAGTACACAGTAATGTAAACCATGGATTGTCTGCTCGTTCTACTTGTGCTTGAGTATGCATGAAAGGCTGCAGGAGCACAGCTGTAAACTCTCGATGTGCTTTATATGCACCTCTAGGTGGAGAGAACGTGCTGAAGAGGATGACCATCATCGGTGTGATTCTGTCCTTCAGAGCCATGGTCCAGGAATGCCTGAAAGATGTAATGTCCAACAGGATTATGATAAAATAACTTATCTTATGATGAAATTAATTAGAATATAGTTTAGATTCACTTCATTTCAAGGTTTTTTCCCCCATGATTGGTATCATTTTACACTAAAACTGCATTTCTTCTGCACTAGAATGAAGATAATGAATATATAAAAAGGTATTTTTCTTTCTTGAGATATGATCTCAGTAATGTTTCATCATATAACTCTATAATTTAGATCCTGCATAAGCACTGCCCCTACCTGACGGGACCCATTCAGTGCCTGAGAGACTTCAGCAACCCCGAAGCTGACATCCAGGTAAATCCCAGCTTTTACCCTACAGCTAGAAAAACACATCCATATATGGAGATCTCACTCAAGAACGAATGTGTAGGAATCAAATTTTCATGGCCTGTGAATCATCACATCGCAGCTGATCGACCTTGGGTTGTGTCACCGTGGAAAAAATGAACACTGTTATTGTATTAACACTCCAAATGCACTGCAAATGTATCATTATTTACTTGTTTATGAGTATAGAATATAGCATGTACGGGTGCTCCATAATTTATATATTAAAATAACAGATGGAGAACAACAGTAGATGTGAGCTGGGGAGCTTAAAGAAACAACATTTTGGTAAAGTACCAAACATATTAAATTCCTTATCTCCCTCTGGACCAATCTGTGTGACTGTGACTCGTGAACTCTCCCTCACTTTACTTACGTCTGGCTTCTGATTGAGGCTTGACAGCCGTGCCACAGTCCGGGGCCAGGATAACCCCAAAGACGTCAGCAGCCCCCCTCATGCCTCTGTGGGAGAGTCTGATTGCTGCTGCAGCGTTGCTCTCTGAACCACATCAGTGGAAACATTTTGCCCAGACGGGCCAACCATGCATGCAACCAGAAATAGGGCAAGATCAAACGCCGTGTGTCAAGACAAAGACATCCACTGCTGACTTAGTGTAACTCCTTGGAAAGTAAACTGTTATTGCTGCGTTATGAAACGCAAAGCACAGATCAGGATCCCACAGTCTGCAAGAAATGCAGGAAATGTTTAAAATGAAGCGTTAAATTTGAACTCTGACAAGCAAGTCATTAAATTATCGTTTTGTGTACCTAAAGGGGAAACTTTAGGGTAAAAAGGGAGACGCTGCATGCAAAGAAATTAAATGCACTCTATTCAAGCACCATCCACTAATACTGTGTGACCTTACAGGTAACTCTGAGCATATATGAGCTGGCTTCTGCTGCAGGGCTACCATGTGATATCGATCCTAGCCTCGTTGCAGCTATTCGCAGCATGCAGACAGGTAACACTTAAACTATGATCAGCACCCCCGATACGGTGCATTGCACTTTAATGGCTTATTTAACTTTTTTCTTATACCTGCAGATAACACATCCCCTGACGAGGAGCACAAGCTGTCCCGTTTGTTACTCGTCTACATCGCCGTGTCCCTGCCCCTATTAGCCCTCGACCCCAACTCGTTCTACAACCGAGAACACGGAGGTGAATATTTATTTGTTCCTTTCGGCTGCTTGTCGTTTTTTGATTATTCTCCAGGCTAATCTGTCCGTCTTCCTGTCATTATTTACCGGCTGCTGATAGTGTGTAAAAGAGGTACTCCGCCCTGAAACACGAGGCGTTTTAGCATCTCTGTGTATCATACTTTCCAGTCTGGCATGGTCTGAGGCAAAGCATGTCAGTTAATGAGAAACACGTTTCTGTGAGGGACTTTTGTTTACAGATAACTTTGTCTGACGCGCATTGATGCAGTTACTCTTGGCATGTGGCCCCGCTGACCCCAAGTGCCTGGCTCTGTGCCTAGACTAAAACATTAAGAGGAGCAATAGCTCAGATTTCCATCAAAGGGCAGAGTGGCATTTGTCACAGATTATTTTCTTTGCCTCGATTTTCCATTGACATGTTTGAAAAAATGTACCCCGTAAGCCAGGGGAAATATGCTCAGCACGCTTCCTCTTAAGTGTTCATTAAGTAAATTTTCCAAAATCGTTGGGGCTCAAATTCATCCTTTCTGTGGTCGTAATAGCTTTTTTTAATTTATATTTCTTTAGGCCACAACAACAACATCCACTGTTTAGCTAGAGCTATCAACCAGCTGGCTGCTGCCATGTTCACCATCCAGAACAAGAACATCGAGCAGCAGCTCAAAGAGTTTCTCCTGGTGAGTGACACAGATGCTGATTGTGATGTGGTTTGGGCAAATTTATTACAGCAGAAATACTGAATGATTTAAACCAATGCTGAATAAATTAAATCCTGACTTTCACTATGTTTGAAAAGCCAATAACAAGTAAAACAACAAATATACAACTCAAAAGATCAGTTAGGCCGCCCGCACCATCATGCTGCATCTTTTTATCAGATGTTGACTGTTTTTTATGTGAAATGCTCGATGGGCTCTAAAAGTATTCTTAATAATTAAGCCTGCGAAGGAAAAAACACACAAACAGTTCTTATCTCTCCGTACAACAAGCGGTGTAGGTGGAAATTGAGTCATAGCAAGAAATTGTGAGAGCGGAAGGTTAGAAAACACTGAAACAAACCGCTTCACAGACAACACTCATCTGAGCTGATGCGTAGATTTTCAGCAAATGCAAAAGTCATACGGCGAAAGATAAATACCATTTTATTTATTTAGGACAGTGCATGTTAATGAACATAAATG